TATTGTTGTACAGTACATTAGGATAAATCTAATTAAAACTGAATCGTAATCGAAATAGCTTACACCTACATCTTCCAATACCTTTAATTATTAGCAATTAAAATAAAATACTGAATCAAATATGGTTGCACTTTTATTATGATACCTACTTACATTGAAGTAATAGAGGCAATACAGTAGATCATAATAAATGTGCGCATAGCTCAAATGCATAAGGTACTCTTGTTAAGAAAATACAACGTTATCAACACTTAAGTATGCATTAAAGTGTTTGGTGACATGCCTTTATAATAAATAATTGATGATTATAGCAGTACTTAGGTAATTATATCCTATGCAGCAGTAATAACCTTACGGTAACGATACTTTATTCTGCATACAGTATTGGATCTTATTACAAGAGAGATTGATCTTGTAATGAGGTTTGAAATCTCTCTATAGTCGTCTTGTTTATTAATTGATACTTGTTAACTTGCAATTAGCCATTAGATTTAAGGTGCGATAAGATGAAGTGTATAGTAAGCACATACCGTGGCAATCATTGCGAAGTCTATCTCTTAGGTGTGAATATGAATATAGCATTTGTAGTTGTAGTTCACTATCCGTAAGACTACATCCTAAAGCTACGGAAATTTAGATGTTAGAAATGATTAAAAGCCTAATGAGAATCGTACACGTATCACGTACACGTAATACGAGTACATAATAAGCTTCATACTGTGCTACTGGCTTGCGTATTATCTGCGTGTTATTTATCATGTTGTCTACTTTGAATAGGCCCCATTTTTCTATAAAATTGATAACAGGACAATAGTTAAGATTTCGTTTATCAAGTATAGGTATATAAACTGTTAAACAAACCCCTATCTAATCCTGTCTCAAGGACTTATCTTTTGGATGCACATACTTTACGTTCTAGCTTCTTACATGTTGTTATCATGCCACATTATAATGAGAATTATTTTTCCTGCAGTAAATTTATACTTACGCGGTATTTTATTAGTTTTATTCGTTAGATTGAAACAAGTTGTACCATCTTAATTATAAATAAATAGCTCGTAAGTGGAATTATGTTCCAATGATGTTAGCTTTACGGCAACGATTGCTGTTTATTAGCATCACTACATAGTCCCGCACTCGTATTTTCAGAAATATATGCAAGCCAGCTAAAAGATCTATATATAAAATCAAAATATAAAGTTTTTTGCGACAATCTAATAATCACAACAGTTCTCTAATGGGAGTCTTTTGTGATAATCAATTAGCGAATGGTTCTAAATGTGCCCCTGCAACTGCATATATTAGAAGTAGTATAAAAAACTGTTTGTTGTTTAATTTGGTATTGATTTATATTGTATTTCAATTCCTATCAAATTTTTGCTTTCGGAATTGCTTATGATTGATACTGATAATGAACGGATGTTTAGCACGTAAATTTATATATAGACCTTAATAGTGTGAAGGCATTAATGGTTTACTACTCTTATAATAATCTGAGAATAATATAAATTGATTAACTGAAACTAGCTATCGCACTCATACTATATAGTATTGGGATTATACATTGTAGAATAAGGTGTTTATGGATCGTAGCCGATACGATGAAACAGCGCACTTATACAGTTTAGAGAATTGTACATTGAACACAATCGGTCAAAATTATATTTATTTCCTAAAATTTGACTTACTTTGTAGTGGTAGAAGGCAGCTTAAGTTATTACACATGTGAAACTAAGAATCAGGTAAATGATGTACTTGACCTTAAACTTACTAGATGATTAATGATAATTATAATTGGTCTAGTTTTGGCAACCATATCTAACGGTTTCTAATCATAAATACCTGTGAAATAGATAATTTTTGTACGCTTACTGTATAACTACTTTTTAGCTTTTGTTAATCTGATATCGAAGAACCTTTTGGTGTCATAGCTGTTTTTGTAAAGAAAACGAATTGTTAGTATGAAATAGTATTAAGTAAAGTAATTGCGATATCGCACTAATTTCAGGCATTGCTGTAGCTATTAGAATGAAGTTAGATAGGCACAATCTAAATATGCACGTCGTACGTCGTCGTATTTATCAAGTGTAGCAACATATAAGATAAAATTCTTCAGTGATCGTGAAATCTTGCAGCGCGCTAGATCATTACTGCTGTTAGCTGAACTAGTTAATTTCGAATCGATTATAGGTTTTCATAAATATTCCTTCAATAATCAGTACCTAATGCGACTTTGCGTGACTGCATTCACTGAAACGACAATAACGTTATAATTTTTCGATATAAGGGTATTCCATGAGCTTAATTAATGGAAAATATGGCTTTCTAGATTCTATAGTAGATTATCGCTATGTTAAGCTCAGATTGGATAGATGAGGTTGTTGTGGATATTTAGATTAATTAATATTGCTAGTAATATTTCAAATTTTAGAATTAAATTAAGTTATCCAAAATATTATAGCTTATGCAGATATAGTACTCTTAGTTGATGATAGCTCAATGAAGGCCTCAAAAAGAATCATTTTATTTCTTATTAGGGTAATTGTGTTGAGTAGACTGTAGAATCTTATGGCTAGTTCTTATAGTGCTAATCTGCAGTATTTTATTGTCGTTATGGGATATTTAGAATAAATAAAGTCGACGAGGAAATACAAGTCGTTTCATTTATGATTAGGAAATCTACCTTTTCTTGCTAAAGATCAGTATTTACTATATATCGTTTTTTCGAGGATTTATAGGATTAACAATCCCATGCTATGAAGATATGGATAGTGATATGAGGGATCAGAATAATTATATATTTGTTACGACCTAGTTTTGTCGTAAATAATTACTTATGATACTTGAAAAAGATTTGTTGCAAATCGTGTATTACAACAGTGCTAAATTGGGTTGTTAATGGATTTCCATTAATGACTGTATTTAAGCTATTTAATATAGGAATTTAAGTGTTATAATTGTGATGGCGAATGTTGTACGAATAGTGTAACCTTGTAGGTAATAATTGGTTTATAGGCGCTTAACTTAACAATTAATGTATTATAATAACCATGTACAAATCGGTGTATAGTAAGCTATTAATTTTGTTAGTTGATTAATTGAAGATTGTACCTATTGGCTTAAGAAAGCATTTAAGTTCCGTCATTTATTAATAAAAGTAAGTTGCTGTATTTGATCTGTCAGTAAGGCACGCTATTAAATAAAAGTTCACTTAGAACTATTCTACTCATTTTGCGTTAGCTCGTTTACGGTCTTAGAACTACGTGCAGCCACTTCAGGTGTAAGATAGCTAAGAGATAGTACTTTAGTTTGTTCCCTGTGTCATAAAGTGTAAAAAATATCTTAGAATTCTAATGCTAAATTACAGTAAGATCAAATGGTAAATTATAGGTCTACTATGAAGCTTTATGCTCTGCAGACATTGGAATGCGTTAAGTTCATTTTTTCTGTATATATATACATTTATTGGAAGTGGTATTACAAAGTGATATATGCTAAATTATAAAATGATTGATAATTATATAATCTGACAACTTGATAAGTTAATTTAGTTAGACAATATTACATTCCTAACATTGCAATCCTATTTTTACATAGCGTTCATATTGCAAATCATAATTGTAAAATAGTATTTTTGTACAATTGTTATAGTGAGGAATATATTACATTTCTGAAATTATGCGAATGTAAATAATTTATGTTTGTCTCACAGGATCGGAAAGGTGATTGCTGCTATCATACACTGATTATTTAGAAATCGGTTTTACTTGAATAAAAAAGTATCTTATGTTATTATATGAACTATTGCTCGCTTAGACGAAAGACTAATCGAAGTTATAGTCATTTAGAATTGCAGTGATATCGTTTACGGGAAATTGGATTAGAATCACTTTGTTATGAAGTGGATCTACTTTGCGGAATCGTGCACGAAATTTTTACCTAAATGTACAACAACAGGAATTTTATTACTCTCATCTATGTTCAGTCTCAGCTCTAAACCTAATTTCCAAATCTACACCTATAATCTCCAAATTTCTACCTCTCTAAATCCAAAAAGCCCTCGCGTGCAATTTAATATTCCTTTATATACTCACTGTATTACACAACGTACAATACCTTATCTAAGTTTCAGGGTCGTATGGCTAAAGCATTTCATTTATGTAGATTATGCTCTTACATTACTAAGAAATCATTGCCATAACATGTTACGATAGATAAGTCATGCTGATCTAGACAATTGCAATCGAGCTACCATATCACTGTCGCGACAAGTTTACTGCATATCTTTTAGTCTATATTTTAGTCCAGATCTAAATATTAGAATCTAAAGTTTAGTTCTGTTACCAGATAAAACTGTCTACAGCTTATTTGATCAAATGTAGGAATATCACCTCCATGTTACTTGCTTACACTATGAATATCCAAGGTATTGATGATAAAGGGCGCATAACTAAGTATACAACTTAATCTGAAAATGCTACAGAAAAGAGTTATCTTTAGTAGCACCTAGTATTGAGCATCTATAGTATAATGTGCTATTCTACTTCATAATTCGCACCATTCTAGTATTACTAAATTTTTATAAGGCAGATAAACGTTTAATCGTGTAGTTTTTTGTGAGGAAAGAAAACTAAATGCCTTAGAAATAATATTGATAGAAAGGAGTACTGCATGTCGAACTGATTTACGTGCAAACTATTTGTCTTTGATCAGTAAAATTAGCTAAGGTACGAAGTTTTTCTGATGATAAGCAATTTTGGTTGATTAAGTGTGCAAAATTTGAAATAGAACAAAATCATCACCGAAGAGTTTTTTCAAATTGCAGTTTTATTATTATAAAAGTTATTGATGTTCGAGGATAATGACAAGTTTTTGTTGATAAATTAAAATTTTCGTTGTCATTACGTATCTGATATTGCTAACATCTACTAAACGTTAACGTAACTATTTTAAGCCATTGAGTCTACATGTAGTCATATCCTCTTATTTCAAGAAGTTATTTAGTTTTGTTTCTTTCCCCAGAAGCGGCGACGGCTGACCCAGCGACGGCGGAGGGTGATGAAACGGCGACGGAAGGTGATAAATCGGCGACGGAAGGTGATAAATCGGCGACGATACCAGCGACGGCGACGGCGGCTCCACTGTTAAAATGGCAAAATTTGATATACAGCGTTAAAAATTTCTAATTTTTTAATCTATGTTATCATAATTTAACTTAAAGAATATTTTGCATCAGTTGTTATTAGTTAAATTATCTCATATTGCACATGATTAAAAGGACAGGAATGGTTTGTGACTTACCAAGGCTTTAGCTTCCTCAGGTATTTCCTCTTCCTCTTCTCTAGCTTGTAATTCATTTTCGGGAGATTCTTCTTCTTTTTCAGCTACTTCATCATCTTCTTCCATGGGAATGTTATCTCTAACTTCTTCCAGTTCTTGGTGTTCTTCTTCGGCACGAACGGCGACGGCCAAGAAAAGGAGTGAGGCAAGTAAGACCAATGTAAACTTCATGTTGTCAGTTTCTAATTTTTAAATGATAGTAATTTAATTGATTAAAATTGCTCTAATCTCATAGATAGGAACTAACAAAATTCAGCAAGAAGAAATTAGATGTAAAGCTAAAATGATTTTCTTACCGTATCAAGTTTGTTTCTCTGCACACGCTGCAAGTGTATTGAGTTATAAGGAAATGCAAGAATATTGCTCCTTATATACACTCTCGAAGACAATACAATCAATAGCTGAAGAAGGAGGATCTGATCAATTCTATTGAGATGAATGGATTTGAATAAGTAAGAATAACTTGATCTACTTTACAAGCTTGGACGAAACTAAAAAGAATAGTCATAAATGGATCTTTTTGTTGCTATAAATTTAGTAAAGAACAAAAATAGATATAGTTTAAACAATAATGTGGAAGTATCCCTTGAGGCAAATTAAAACAATTGATTTTAAATTACGAGTTTATAGACGATACTGACACAGTAATTTTAATTATTGGTGATATAAAATGTATTTAATGCAACATCAATATTGCAATGTGATAGTAGTAACTAAGTGCGATCTATTCCACCGGGAAATTCGGTACAAAATATCGGTACAAAATATGACAGGGTAAATAGATAAACAGGATATAGTTATTTCCGTTCTGCTTGATAATCGCGTAAATTTTATACTTCTAGAATTGATTTTGTTATCGTAGCGGGTCTATTTGGCGTTCAGGAAAAAAAACAACTTGTTGCTATGCTAATGCTTGTTATTCATTATAATTATAATTGGAATGGTTAAGAGGGCTGAGAATAACGCTGTGTCACAATTCTATCACTACTATATTGCTAATCAGCAAATCAAATTAATATCATTTATTACGTTAAGTGAATTCGATATGAATTAGAACGAATGAAGTCGTATACTGTAATTATAATAATTCATTCATTTTAAGTCATAACGCGTTACATTCTGATTGTGGGACTATTGAAAATTATTATAAAAATTATTGGGTTGACAATGGTAGTAAATCCATCCTTACAATGTTACATTAACCATTGGCTAATACAGACTAAGAAAAATTATGATTGATTTATTTGAGAGTTCAAGCCCTGCAGTTTTGTTATTATTTGATTGGTATTCATGTCTACATTGATTCTAGAGTGACATGTCCTAGTAATTAAAAAGATCTTTACGTAATCCTCGTACGTATTCACCATAGGCGATCTTTTGAAATAGATTGAATGAAATCGTATCGAAAAGATGAGCATTATTTATTAGCATTTATTTTTGGATACAATTCAAATTCTGTATAGGAACTACATAAATCAAGTATGGGACTAAAGCTATTCAATAAATTAATGAACGCGTATTTATTAATTAAACGAATAAAATCGATCCATTGAAAGCATCTAGTTTGCTATTTTTTTATTTATTTAAATCTTACTCTAAGAAGAGTTTTAGATTAATAATTTTTTCAGCATGAAATGGATTTAACATAAAATGATCAATATCTTCAAAATATTTATCACTTTTATTCCTGTCTATAAAGACGATTAATCTTTGGGGGATTTAGATTTTCACTTTTCAAAACGTCTAAATTACATTCTTCAAATCTTTAGAGATCTGACTAAGGTACTGTATACTGGATTTGAAAAACATCAATCCAAATTTCAATAGCAAAGGTAGTAATTCGTTGAAGGTGATTATAGACTGGTTTTGTCTATGGTTTTCTGTTTATTAATTCGCATATTTTGTAATCAGACAATGGAAAATGGAATAATTATATTATAGAAACAATATATGTTGCGAAACGAGAGAATTGTGTTGTATTAAATGCAGTAATAATGGCGAATTACGGCATACAGCTCTTGACCTAAAAACAAACGGGTAATTATAGGAATCATTAATGGGCTGCTAATTAGGCTACTATTCATTCGATGTTATTGTTTGAAAGCTTTTGTTTAAATTCTGCCACTCATCTTGGCAATTAAATTTTCTTACGTAAATGACTTGGCGATTTATAATTAAAATATGTTACTGTTGCTACGGTGTTGAATAAATAGTAGCTAATCTTAAATTTAGTGGTTGATGTTGACTGTAATCAAATCTTTTTTCTGATAAGATCTTTGTATACTTATAAGTGATAGCTAACGCGATAGGAATCGCTAGAAAAAGCCTAATTCCACATCATTAAGGAATTCGATAAACCAATCCTAAGATCAAATGTACATAAAATCGAGAAGAGGGCAGACGTTCTTTCTTCTTTTTGTATGTATTAGTCATTAGAGGTAGGAGGTTACTATTCAAATGTATTGAACATAAGTAACGCTACCGGGTTAGCAAATGGTTGATAGATTAGCTCTACAATATAATTTTTATTCGTGTGATTTATTGTCGGCCTCACTCCTTCCATCTTTAATGGTTCAGTCGGTTTGAATTAATTTTAAAGTAGCCCAGGGGACAGCGATTCTGTCCAACTGTGTCTTTGTTAGTATGATGAGATGGCTCCATTGGATCATAAGGCGTAATTATCGCCATTATCTTCTTTATATCCGCCTTGAGAATAACATTGTATCCCATTAGACAGCCTTAGGGTGCAGATTCGTAAATTAATGACATGTCGCCGTGGGAACATCCCAATTGACGTCAAAGAGATTAATGTTGTTGTTTCCGGAGTATCGACTCTACCGTCTTGATTCCTTACCGAATTGCTGCGAAATTCTACGAGAATTTACTACAGCAATGGTATTAGTGTCCTATTGATCTAGCAAATCCCTTGATTACCGTTGCAAGATTGTAATCAATGAAACTGTATTTCAATTATTTTTTAATCATAAATGGAATGAATGATTAGTTCCATTAGGTAAATATAATTTCTTTTAAATTCTAGAATCAAGGGTTACGCAAGATGATGATGGCTTTTAAGGCTCTACTTGACCTTAAAAGTGAATAAATTTATCGTTACGATAACTCTGCATGATATCCTTTAATGGCAATTAATAGTGTAAGAAAGCATCAGCAATGAGTCATACGACAAATGAATACGATTCATTTCGATGCATTTTGTTATCAACCCTGCAGAAAATGATAGGGAAGATGGATGGCATCAATAACATTTCAATTTCTAGATTTGTTAACTTCCGTGTCGGTACTATCACGTATGGTCCGAGACGTAGTTAATGCATTAATCTGTACGATATTATACCATCTGTTGATTACTATTGATAATAAGAAATATATAATTAATGACCTTATCGTGATTATATTGTAAGTTGGTGTATAGTCCAATCTTTTACTACGGTTTTAGTGAGATATAATAGCTTTAACGAAGGGCTAATTGATAGGGTGAGACGATCAAGTTCAAGCGTTCGTATTAGCTGGGGCTCAGCATCGGAAAAATTGGGGCGTCTATTATTTTATATTGAAAAAAATTATTCTATAAAACTGAATCGAATGAAATCATTTTAAGCTAGTCTAGATAGAGCAATTGATAAAAAGAACTGTCTTACACGATTCTTACTTTGATAAAGCGGCTTTCGCTGCGTTAGCAGCATTTAATTAATTAACAAAGCAAGGTAAAGAGGTTGGTTATTTGGTAGATTCTTCTGTCAACCTTTCAACGTTCATTTGTTGAATAAAGGGGTGGAGGTTTTATTTTATTGTTCCCCTAGGCATGATGGCCTATAGACAATTTCAAAGGCTGATTTAAATAAAGTCTAGTTAATAGACCGACTTTTTAAGGTTGAGTAGGATTTTATGTCAAGTACTACGAGTTTGATCAAAATTGATTAATAGCTCTCATATGGTTAAAGATTATAATTTAAGATGGTATTTTCGTGATGAAATAATTGTAAACTAATCGAGTATAGAAGATTAATTATATCACAACAGAACAAAATAATCATTTATCGGAGTAATAGTGAGTACTTTGACGCTAATCAGAATTACTACAGCTTGTTCTCAGTTGTTATTTGTTTTGTTGCCCTACGCTTGTATCACGGATCGCTAGAAGGCTTTTACGCCTTTTGTCACCGAGATGAAACTTTTTACAGCAAACATTATTTTTGCATTACTCCCACATTAAAAATGAGGCGATTAAGTCAAAAATATCAACGTATTATATTCATAGGTTATTTATGTTGTGCAATCTGAATATATAATAATTGAATTTCAACACCCAGCTGCGCTATAAATCTAAAAAATAGTATTATTGTTAGAATTCTCTGCAATGTCTGAACTTTTGACTATGAATTGTTTTATACAGCGATAATTATGATTGTGACAGTACCCGTATGAGGTGATTAAATGGTACGATTGAATATTTTAGTATATTGATATCCAGTAGCACAGAATCAATCAGGTAGATATAGAATAGGAAGTAGATTCGTTTTGATGTACAGTTGCCTTATTAATTAATTAATTAAGAATGAATTAGTAACACTAGTGTAGCTAATGCAATTCTAGAAGGTGTTAGATACATTTTAATTCAGTTTGCTCTAATAGTAAAACTAACAGGTTGAATTGGTGAGATATTTACTAGAGTTTCCTTTGGAGGTTGTAATAATCTCTTTTTACACGTCTATCTCTCATAATATAAACGCTTTACATAGTTGAAAGTTTTTCTAACTTATACATAGTATGAGTAAACAAAAATCTTTCGTAGTTTAAACATGTGCAAAGGCTCTCGATCTTATTAAAATAGTTATGTTAGAACCGTGAAGTAGCATACAAACTATGCAGCTACGATCAATGCAGGAAACTGATCATAATCCTTATATTGGGTTTTACTTTTACATACCGTAAATGATTTAGTAAATAATATGCCTAGAACTACTGATAAACAGTAGCTACTTCTAGTTTACTTCCTATTTACGTAACTTAAGACGTAATTTCTTTATTAATTAATAGTAATGATTATAATCTTTGTATTGGGTTATGCTTTTCACATAAATAAATGAGCTAATAGATATTTACAAACATTAATTTATTTGCTTTCTACTTATGTTCCATCGATACGAGTGTAAATTGAGGTCTAGTTCCTTATTATTTAACTAGTAGACCCCTCGCATATTATTTATTAATATTGCCAAATCAACTTAATGCACAGAATATCATATGTCACTATTCAGCTAAACTGACGTGAAGACAGAACTAGTCGGTTAATGTGTTCTTTTTGTCAATCTATAAAATAGACGTCGTTTTTATGTGGGTAAGTATACGTTCAAGTCATCGCCACAATTAATCCAATATTTAGTAATGTACAGTGTAGATGCTGATGTCCGTTAACAGATTTGGGTTCGAGCTACTGATTCTAGTATTTGGGCTTTAAGTTCTTAACTAAAACAAAATAAAACTATTCGATACACAATTCGAGTATCTAAGATCATAGCGAGAAATTAGGAAGTGTAAATAAATTAAAAATAGTAAACTGCACTCTTTCTATACTGTAAAGTTTCATTTTGCCATTGAAATATTCTACAGCAATTTTGATAGCTCTTATTTTTTAATATTCGAAAATTAAATTATTATTAATATATGGTAATGTGATAAGTAAGCTGTTTATGATCTACTGAATTACTAAGCTTACTAGTTTAATGTAAAGTATATAGAGTTACTTCTACAGATTGCTACCCTAATTTATCGTAAAATCTATACCTCGAACTAGATTAGTGTCAAGAAATGAGAAAGTTTTAAATGACTTTCATTGATCAATTTAGAGATGCGATTTTCAGACACAGTACAACGGCACTAAGCCATGTACTGTAGTGCAATATAATAATTTAATTATCATATCTGCATCTGATATGAACCTATCGCATTGGCACTTTAAGATTCTTACTAACATTCTATGTAATATTGCTTGGGAAAATATTCCAAAATAAAATAAATTTCAAATGCTACGAGTTAAATTGCTTTAGTACTCAGTATAATGTAGTAAACTAACTTAATATTTACATAACGCTGACTCTCTAAAATCAAGCCATCTTAGTAATGCCAGACCATCAGCAAAAACTAATATAACAGCTGCACCGCGTAACAGCTTTCCCTTACTATTACTAGATCACATCTAGATTTATAGCAATTTTTCATGTACAGGATTAATTATAGTTGACATTGCAGCAAAGTGTTGGATATAATAATGTAATGATTTATTTGCTATGCTGGCATATTTACGTTAAAAATCTTATGATAGAAAATCCTTCATAATTGTTAATGATAGCTCAATTACTACAGTATGTAGCTAAGTAAGATTTTCGAATTTATCAAGGCATTTTGTGATAACCTATTTATTACTTAGTTAAGGAATGTCTCAGTATTTAAGAGAGTTCCCTAAAGGAAATAATATCTGTTCGTAGTTGTAGCGATGGCTCTAACTGTCCACTGTAAAATTGTACATCATGATCAAAACTTTGTTTATATGATTGAATAGAAATAGTAGCAGGTAGTGCCTACAATATCTTTACAGGTTCCAGCATTAGAAGGATTAATTCTTCTATTGCTCGAATATAATATTGGATACGATGAAATTTTTACCGGATGTCTATTCCAAAATACGGTTTTAGTGATACAACCTATTCAGTTATGTAGGAAAATGATAGATGCTGCAAATTTGAATACAAATGGTACTGTACTACGCATCATGGCGCTACAAGAAGTTGATAACGCCAACTTTTACTTTCTAGTCACTGTCATACTGTACTTATATTAGACCTTGAAGATTTAGTAGTCCAGTAGAAATAGCTAAGCCAACAATAATTATTCAACTACCTGTAGCATCATTAAACCTTCCTGATAAAAGTGATAACGTTTGTATGCCGCTTTTATTATCAAGAGATGATATGAGAATAGCTTACTGATTGATTGTATTAAACAGCCATGTAATCCATCCTCCGATTCTATAAAAATAGCGTATTTCTTATTTACCTATGTAGTGCAGCCCCAAATAAGCTTAATACTAAGATTATACATAAACAGGACTTGCGGGGTATAGTGTGTTAATATAATATCGACTAGTGGTTAAATACGGTCTATTAGAGCTTGTTGATGCTATGTCTGTAACTTACTATAATAACATTACGTATGATGGTACCCTAGACAACTACTATATATTTAGAGTTATTAGTATATGTAATGTATCTGTTATAATTATACGTGACTTACCTTACGATTACATACTCTAGTTTACGCTTACAAATTTGTAATAACTACTAAATTTGCCTTATCTTTGTTAAGCTATAATTTCCTAATAAACTTTACATTATTTTACAAATTATTCAAGATTCAAGATTTATTACTGGACTCAAGTAGTATTGTGAGCCATATACTTAGCAAATAAGAAAGTGTAATACAGTCTCTTTCATAACCAAATTAGTCATTTACGTCAGCTTTTAATTCAATTTATTGCCGTCATATATTCGTCGACCCAATCCGCTTTGTAGTCACCTTGTTTTATCGATTGGTATGCTAAATGATTTATCTTAGTT